TAGGTTCTTCATGACCTTTTTTTTTTTCCTTAGATGTGGCACATATATACAATGGGATATTACTCAGCCATAAAAAGAAACAAAATTGAGATATTTGTAGTGAGGTGGATGGACCTAGAGTCTGTCATACAGAGTGAAGTAAGTCAGAAAGAGAAAAGCAAAAACGGTATGCTAACATCTATATGTGGAATCTAAGGTCCAGCTCATTTTATGCGGGGAGTTGCAAAGAGCCAGGGGCTGCCTCTGGGGACAGTCATGCCCACAGCCCACAGGACTGACCACACACTGTGCTTTCTGGAAGGGAAAGAACCTCGAGCGGTGGCGGGGGCCCAGGGTCCATCCAGACTGAGCGACACTGACCTGTGCGCCTCCATGCGCTGTGCCGGGTTCTTACGCGACACTTACATTCCCTCGCCCTGTATCCCCACCAGCCTGCTGGAATTTCACTCCTTGCTGCAGAGACTTTTACTATTCTTTGTTTTGAAAGCTCTGATTGTAACATCTTTCTACTCCTTCCATCCCCCATACACCTTCGTTCCTTTACCAGTTAAAGTGCCACGGGGACTCGCCCGGCCGTCAGGCACCAGGTGGGCAGAGGCATCGTCCTGCATGGGCTGGTGCCGGGCTGACTCGTGCCACACGCAGACAGGAGCAGGTGCCCAGCTCTGCTGGATGCCGGCCCTTCTAGACGGTGTCACCTGTGTGCCGCCAGCCCATCCTAACCTGAGCTCGCGGATCCTGGGGCTGCCAGGAGGGAATGAGCTCAGGCTGTGCAGAGTTGGTGCCAGGAACCGCAGGTTCTGGGGGCTGCAGACTCGGCAGGCGGATGAAGGCCACGGAGTCCCAAGTCTGGAGCTGCGTGTCAGGGTCAGGGTCAGACCCCCATTGTTGGGGAGGGGGAACAGTCAAGGGCAGCCTGGTGGGGAGGGACAAGGGAGAGAAAGGACGACCCCTGCCTCAGCCCAGCCCCGCTGCATCACTGCCCACCCAGATCCCGACACGGGAGGGATGGACGGGCTCCTTCGTGGGTGCTCTGTGGCTCAGCATGTGGGTCAGCTGTGCTGCCCTCGCACCTCAGTCCTCAGACCGTGCACTTCACCCTGAAGGCTGAAGGGCAGCAGAGAGTCTTCTGAGAGCTGTATTTGGAGCCCAGAGGAGGGAGAGGTGTGTGATGCAAACAGTGACCGAGGCCAGGCTTCTCCGGGGCTCCCGCCCTCAGTGACATCCCGCCTGGACAGTCTCTCTGCAGCCCACAGGCGCTTTAAACATGGCTCCCAATTCGTTGACACCCTCCCCTTGAACCTGGGCCGGGTGATGCTACTTCCACCAACAGGTAGTGGCTGAGTACCCAAGGCAGGCAGTGCGGTCCACCTCCCAGGGCTGCCCCACTGGGCTCTGCACCTGCAGTCCTGCTGGACTTGGCCCTCCAGCCGTCCCTACGCTGTGCCAGATGCGCGTGACCGTGACCGAGCCATCTCAGAAGGCATCCACCCGCCGCCACTGTCCAGCCCCCAGCCTGTGGAGTCAGCCCCGGCCGAGGCCCCAGGCACTGCGGAGCGGGGACCAGCCAGCCCTGCCGGGCCTGTCTGGGTCGCCGTCCCAATCTGCACGCGCCAGTAACCAGAACGCTTGTCTCGGGGCCTGTGCTTCAAGCGGATTAATGCAGAGAGCTCCGCTGAGTGAGTGAGGGTTCAGCGACAAGGACTGAATTGCTTAACGACTAGCCAGGTACGAGTGTCCTGGACGGCCCTCAGCAGGACACGACTCCAGGTGGGACAAGCCCAGTTCCCAGCCAGCTTCACTTGTTTGTTCCAGGTTTCCTTTCACGAGAGCATTCGTTTCTCGGGTCCTTCCTGGCTTCCATGAAGGCGGCTGGCCCTGGCACATCTCCCCAGTGGGGTTGGAAGGGGGTGCTGGTGACCGTGTCCCCTTTGCCACTGTTGCTTCCTAGAGCTGCCAGGAGATGAGGGGACAGGCAGAGCTTCCTGCTACCGGGAGATGAATGGCTGCCTGGTGTGGGCAGAGGGGGGAAGGAAAACAACAACCCTGGGGACAGTTACAGGACGGCCCCTGGATTCACCTCGGAATTCAAGTCCTTTATGGGACCGTGGGAGCAATGCTACTGCCGATTGTTTCTCCAGTGGGGGGAGGATATACCCAACGTCAGGAGCTGATGGTACCTGTAAGCATTCGGTTTGCAGGCTGAGTTGATCCTCTGTACAGCACACAGCCTCGAGGCGCTCAGGGTGGGTGTGACGGAGCCTGAGCGCCGTCCACAGGGCTGTCCCTGTTGGGGCTGCCACATTTGCTGGCTGCGTGATTGACTCCTCAGGACAGGCTGTAGCATATTTGTCCCTAGAGTTGGGGTGTCCACACAGCTACGGAGCAGTCCAGGGACTGGGCTTCAAGTCTTTGACTGCAAGCGATAGACGGAGACGCCAGCTTCATTAACGATAAAGGGAATTCATTGGAAGGAACGGGACCTAGAACTTGGCGTCAGTGTAGCCTGTTAAAGATGATTAAAGACAGCAACGGAAGTGACACAAACAAACTCTACTCAACACCTCATGATGTGGGTGGTCCCCGTTCTCAAGGAAGAATCCAGGGACCTGCAACATGGGGCAGAAGCCTGGACCTTTTTATAAGATAGGGCGTAGTTTCCATTGGCTGTCAGGGCACCCAGGGCAGGAGTGTCTCCATCTAGGGACTAGAAATTTTCTTCAATAAACCCAACGACAGTCGGCTCTCAGTATCGGCCAGTTCTGCGTCTGCAAATTCAACCAACTTTGGATTGAAAACATTTGGGGGGAAAATTCCAGAAAGTTCCAGGACACAAAACTTGAATTTGCCACTCGCAGACAACTATTTATATAGCATTTGCATTGTATTAGGTATTATAAGTCATCTAGAGAAGATGGAAAGTGTTACGGGAGGATGTGCACTGGTATATGCAAATAGGACGCCGTTCTGTATGAGGGAGTTGAGCATCCTTGGATTTGGTATCCACGGGGCTCCTGGAGCCAATCCCTGGTGGATGCCGAGGGCTGACCGCACGGCCACTCACATAAATGAGCTCCAATGGCTTCTGTCTTTTCACCTCTGCCCCTTGTTTTTCCCTCCTGTGCGCAAGGGGAGATTATGATTCAAGATCCAGAGGTGGTCCTGGGTTGTGAAGAGCTTATGTGGTCCAGCTTGTGTCAAATGACGGTCTCTTAACCGCAGGAGGGCATAGTGCCATGAATAACAATTTCTCCCAGACCCATCTCGCAGGACAGGAGTAATTCCATCCTCCCTCCACGAAATTGGGGTGGTGTTATTGAGGAAGATGAATGGATGCTGGCTCTCATACTCCTGTTAGGCTCTGCACCCCTGGAAGATGTTACTCTGCCCCTCCTTGAGAAATGCTCCCACTAAGGGGGACGAATGCTTAAGACAACAGACAGAGGGGGCTTCTCTTTGGGCCAAGGGTGGTCCGGCTGGAATAAACCTTCAAGCTCAGAGAGGCTGGAATTGCATGTTTTTATTAGTCTCTGGGCTTGATAGCAAAGGCAATAAAAGTGGGGCAAAGGCTGATGTAATGTAACAATATTGGGATGATGATGTCATCTGTGTAGTAAACAAGAGTAGCTGTTGAGTCATAAATAATCTTTTCACGGCGATCTTGAATAGGTCTGACACCAGATGTACAGTAAATTCACTCACTTTATGGAAATGCCTTTCCTTTGCAAAGAAGGGAGAGTGGTCTATAATACAAAGTTCCATATGTGCTGCTCAGCACGCTTTATCTTGTGCTTTTTGTGTGATCTGTTTAACGCTTCTTTAGTCACCTAAACAGATCAGGCCTCGCTAGGCACCACCCCGTTTTGTGCGCGTAAACTGCGTTAGCAAAAACGTGGGCTCGACGCCCAAATCTGAACTGAATCCAAATTGCCTGGTCGCCGAATGAAATATGTCACTTCAGGAAGTCCAGTGTCCTTTCTTAACCTGTGACTTTGAAAAGAGCTAGAATTTTCTCTCACTGAGCATCTTGGGCTTTTTGTTTTTTGAATTTTGAAGGCAGAATTTAACAGACTTTGGTTCACGCCATTGTCTAAGAAGGCTAAGACCTGAACAGCTCCCCGAGCCGTGGGTCCCCCCTACCCTGTTCCCTCGATGTCCCCACGCAAGGTAACCACCATCCCCAAGTCTGTTCACTAGGTCCTTGCTACCCTTTTTACACATTGTTATCTCGTTGATACATATTCTAGGAAAATATTTTGTATTTTTGTCTTTATACAGTTAAACTGGTTGAGAGATATGACAACCTTCATTATAGTATTCTTTATTCCTTTTTGAATGTCTTCAATATTTAATACATCTTGATGGAAAACAAAGATTTGCAGATTTTTTAAAATCATTTTTAAAAGTTTTCTACCTGCGTCTATGAAAGGGAAATGTTGGCTTTGAAAGCTGATATCCTGGAATATCTGGGGGCAGATTTCGTTTCAAGATGGCGTCACGTGGTGCAAATCTGGCTTCACTGTGAAATCAGATTCCTACTGGATCTTGTAGAAAATCTCTGTTACCTCTAATGGCCAGAGTAGGAAGAGTCCCCTGTAAAGCAGCAGGTTTGTCCTCCACAAAATAAGTGATTTGCCATCAGAGGGCGAGAACCCGCATCATCATTGTGCGCCTATGCCTCCCATTTCCGGTCTTTTCCTCTTCTCCTCACCTCTCCCCCTTCACCATTCCCTCTCCTCCCCGGCTAGGTCTGCTCCTGAAGCTGAAGCACTGCTGGGGATTAGGAGAGCACACCCAAGACGTGCACTCATGCCCTGGGGGCGGGACTCAGCCTGCTTCTCCTCCAAGGAGAATTCGCACTTTGACAAAGGCCTACTCCCACTGGGGATGTTTGTGCGTGTGGCCGTGATTTGCAAGGACCTGGAGGCGAAGGCAGGAGAGGAGGACATCTGAATACCCGGCTCAGGCAGCAGGGAGTTGGGGGGATAGAGGTACGTAGGTTGGAAAAAAGTCACCGTGATACCCCCAATCCTCTCTCCCACATCTCCGCCAAGAATTTTGGTGCCAATAAAGAGAACAAATATTTACTGGCACCCACGGTGGAGCAAGGCGGATCTTTCCTCATTTAACCAACAAACTTTTGTAGTGGGCGTTGCTGTTCCCATTTTACAACTAAAGGAGCTGGGACTCAAAAGGGATAACTTAGTTGCCAGCGAGGGGCGGGGTTAAATGCTCCCTGGGCGGTACCTGCCCATCCTGCAGCACACCTGCAGTCGCGCTTGCCACGCCGCAGAGGCCACGTGGAACACACCTTGCAAATGCTCACGGAGAGGATGCTTCTTGCTCCTGATGGGAACTGCCTTCTCAGCCCCTGAGGCGTTTCGGGGGGCGGGGGCATCTACGCTTTGCTCCCGGAGAGCTGTTTGGACTCAGCTTCCACCAGTTATCGGGATTCTCCCAGCAGGTGAGTGAGGGAGTTACAAGTAGCAAGCTAAATGTTTAGCAGCTGAAGTCAATAGCTGCGGGGCCCAGGAATCTGTCTTGGCTGGACCTGGCGCCCTGCACTCACTCTGCGTGAGGAAGCAGCTAGAAGAACTCGCTTCAGCAAGGTTTCCCGTGTTTCAACAGCAGTTTAGCTCTTTATCAAATTCCAACTTTATCCAGCGACCTTGGCTGCGATGAAAGTGGATTATACTTATCTCTGCTGTTTCAGACAGACTGGCAGGAGCCCTTCAATAAAATCAGGACGGCAGAGAGGCCGTCTTTTTGGAATCTTGATCCTGACCCAAAGTCAAGTTTCTGCAGCCAAAGACAGAATCATCAGAGGCCAGCTCAGCTCGCTCCTGCCTGCCCCCAGATAAAGGGAGAGAGAAGGACAGGAGGTGGGGCTGGGGTGGCAAGGAGGAGGTGGGGAGGAGGAAGGACAGGGAGGGGGATATGGGAGGGGGAGGGGGGGAGGGGAGAGGGGAGGGGGAAGGAGGGGGAAGGAGGGAGGAGGGAGGGAGGGAGGGAGAGCCCAGCTACTTCCTAGCTCTTCAGCTGATGGACCAGGTGAAGCCACCTTCCTCCCCATGGGGAGTGGGTGTGCCCCCCCCCCCAGTGGACATCAGCCTGCGCCTTGCTCTGGAGGCTGGACCAGCCCTGGCCGAGGGCAGCCTGCATCAGCAGTCTTCTGGAAAGCAGCAAGGGGCTCATAACCAGGACTTGGGCTTGGAATCAGGACTTGTTTTCCACTCCTCCCTGCCAGGGCCCCTCCATCATAATCCTGGACACCCCGCCTGTCTGTAAAGAGCTGGATGGAGGGGGCTGATTTCATGGGGCTCTGAGAGCGTGGGCAGAAAGCAGGGCGGGAGCCACGGCCTTCTTTGTCCCTGGCAGCTGAGCCGGGCTCTGAGCTACTTCCCAGATGGAAAACACTCCACCGCCGGGTGGCTTCATAGGACCACTGACCTGGCTTCAGGCGCAGGCTGTGGAGGGCAAACAGCCAGCTTGCTTCACTCACCCAGAGAGGAGGCCTTGCCTTAATCCTGCCCATCCCAGGGGAGGCTGGGACCAGGCACGGCTAAAGCAGAAATAGAGGGCTAGCCACATCGTGGGAACACAGACATTTCATCCTTGATTTAAAAGTTGCTCCGTCAACTCTCTCCTAGCCGCTGAAGCCTGCAGTTATGCAGGGCCACCTCCTCTTAGCCTGTCCTCCAGTGAAACCTCTAAAGTCTCATAATTAAGTACCGAAGAGCTAGAGAACATTAAACCCAGAAATTAAAACAACAGCAGCCACCTACTTCCCCTCTAAAGCAGGCCCCACACACGCGTGCGAATTGCTGGGGATCGTGTCCAAATGCACATCTGTTTCAGCAGGTCTGCGGGTGCCCACGTTGCTGCATTTCTAATGAGCCCCAGGTGAAACGATGCTGCTGCCCTCAGGCCACATCTCGAGGAGCAGTCTCAGGTATGACGGTTTTGAACACAGAATATTTCAGGAACCACAAATGGTAAGATACATTGGCATTTATTCTTTTGTCCACCCATTCATTCAACGTTTACTTTTTATCTTAGTCATGTTTTCCCGTTTTACTGAGGTATAATTGATGTACAGCACTGTATGTTTCAGGTGGACTGCATGATGATTTGACTTCCATATATTAGGAAATGATTATCACGATAAGTTTAGCGAACATCCATCATCTCATATAGATACAAAAAAAAAAAGGAAAAAATGGTTTTTTTTCTCCCTGTAATGAGAACTCTTGGGATCTACCCTCTGAATAACTTGCGAGTAACCGTACGGCAGTGTTAACTATAATAATCGCCGCATCCGGCATTTATGGAGTACGTGCAGTGTGGCTTCTGTGCTAAGCACAGGGCAAATAGCTGAGCCGAACGTAGACCTCAAGGCAGCCCGAGTTCTCTGTGAGCCCTTCAACAAACCGACCTGGAGCGTTCCGTGTAGTGAGCTCTCCGCTCACAGTGGGTCCAGCAAGAGTAACGGCCTCACTGCTCCAGGGGAACAGTGGAAAGTAGATGTGTTACCATCACTGAACCCACTGCTCATTAGCAAGTGCTAACCGGGGCTGCCTGCACTTGGAGGGGTGCTGGTCACTGTGCCGGGTACAGAATGCCTGATGGATAGAGTCCCGCCCTCCACAGGTGATACAGCTGTAATCTGCGCAGGGTGGCACACAGCTACTCAACTGGAATCAGTAAAAAGAGAGAGAGGAAAGAGGAGGGAGGAAGTGGGGGCAGAGGGAGGGGGAAAGGGAAAGTGGTAACGATTGACAGAGGCAAAAAAAAGGAACTCCCATCCTGATGAGGTGTCTTAATTATATGACATTTTATTTCCTTTTTTATGACTATAAAAATAATATATATTCAGTGGAAGATAAACAATGAAACATAGAAAATAAAACTGAAATCCTCCCGAAAAGCACCCCCAAAGGAGAATAGTTCCGTGTGCGCTATTCTTTTTTTCTTTTTTTAACATCTTTATTGGGGTATAATTGCTTTACAGTGGCGTGGATGCTATTCTGTACCTTGGCTCTGCACAAACGAGTAGACGTGAGGCTAAATAGAACCACCGTTTACACACTGAATACATCCCTTTCATTCACTAAACAATATGCTGTAGACTTTTCACAGGTCAGTTCGTTAGCTTCTACCTCAATATTTGAAAGTTTTTCATTATATTTCATTCCATGGTTTACCATAATTTATGTCACCAGTTCCTGATTGGTGGCCATTTGGATTTTTTTCTATAATAAATAATGTAAACCAAATATTTGAACATATATCTTTACCTGCTTGATTTCTATACAATAAACTCTAAGGAGGAATCCCTGGGTGAAAGGAGAGGACCTCAGATATCGCCAAACTGGCCACATTACAAAGCTTGTACCAATTTAAGCTCCGGCAAAATGCACGACAGTACCAACTTCCAGTATGTTTTTAATCTCTGCTAAACTAATAGGCTTTTACCATTGTTGAATTTCCTGTATCTCAGGGATGCCGAGGGGAATATTATTAGCCTCTTGTATTTCTTTCTTTTGTTGAATTGCCTGTTTGTGGCTCCTTGCTTTATCTTTCTATTAAGTGGTTCTTTTTCTTATTGATGTCTAAGAGCTTTTAATATTTAATGAATATTCAGTCTTTTAAAATTGTCACATATGTTGCAAATATCCTTTCCAAGTTTGAAGAAGCATTATAACTTAGTTAGCTGCACAGCCTTGAAAGTTCAGATTCTGTGCCTACAAGAAAGTATTGTACTGAGATTAAATAAAAATAACGCATATAGGGACTTCCCTGGGGGCACAGTGGTTAAGAATCTGCCTGCCAGTGCAGGGGACACGGGTTCGAGCCCTGGTCCGGGAAGATCCCACACGCCGCAGAGCAACTAAGCCTGTGTGCCACAACTACTGAGCCTGTGCTCTAGAGCCTGTGCACCACAACTACTGAGCCCACGTGCCACAACTACTGAAGCTCGCGCACCTAGAGCCCGTGCTCCGCAACAAGAGAAGCCACCGCAATGAGAAGCCCGCGCACCGCAACGAAGAGTAGCCCCTGCTCACCGCAACTAGAGAAAGCCCGCACGCAGCGATGAGGACCCAACGCAGCCAAAAATAAATAAGTAAATTAATTAAATAATAATGCGTATAAAATTCTCACTACAGAGCTTGGACTTAGCAAGTGCTTCAAAGTCAGTTTATAAGTGTTGCTTGCAGATTCCTTTACAGTAACTTTGATACATGTATCATTTCATCACCTAGTCCTCTTATTAATACTTTCTGCCCTTGCGATTGAGCTAGGAAAGGTCTTGACTATATATATTCTCTTATGTGTATTTCAGGCCTTTTTTTTTTTTTTTCTTAATAAGAGTCTGTGTCCTATGCTCTAATGATCACTCTGCAGACACCCTCTGGTCCCTTGCTTCCCTTACTCTTTCTTTGCCCTCCTGGTCTGCTCTGGTTGAACCTCGCTGCCTGCCCTGTGCTCGCACTCACCTCCTGCTTTTCTCTCTCCCCCTTTTATCAGAACGCCTCCAAAGGGTCGCCTCTGTCTCCTTCTCTGTGCCCAGCCCATTCCAATCAAGCTTTGCCCCGTTTCCCACACTCTGCACCCCGAGTCTCCACCTGACCAGATGCTCCGCTCACCACTCATCTTACTTAAGCCTCAGCGTCACCTGACAGAGCCCATCTCCGCCTCTTCAAATCCTCTCTTCATTTGCTGTCTGGGTCATTGCTTCCCAGGTTGTCCCCGTGTCACCAGCAGCTCTTTCTGGGTCATTCTGCTGCGTTCCCCTCCTCTTTCCTGACTGCTGCATCATGGAGTGTCCCAGGCTTACTTCCTAGCCTGCTTCTCTTCTTCCTTCACCCTCACAGCCTAGGGCATCTCAAACAGCCCCCTGAATTTAAATTCCGTCTTTTCTTATGCCTCCTAAATTCACATCTCTAGCCCCGATTTCTCCCTGAAATTCAGACCCGCTTATTCAGCTGTCTACCTATCATCTCTATTTGGATGCCTAACAGGTATCTCAGATGTGATACGGGCCAGACCAGGGTCGCCATGGACTGTTGTCCAGCTTGTGTACTGCCTAAGGCAGCCAGCCAAGGGAGCCCGATGGGCGTGCAGCCCATGTCCAGCTTCCTAAGCCCTGAGCTCAGGTGTGGGCTCCAACCGCAGAGCAGAGGAGGTACCTTCCATGGGGGTGCCTTTCTAATTCTCTCCAAGTTGCCTTATAGGTTAGCTGAGGCCATGACCAAAGTATATCTTTTGATTTCTCCCCACCTCTAACCTGCTACTCTCAATATACAGCACCATTCAATTGAGAAAAAGGAGGAGAAGAAGGAAGCTGAAGAGGAAAGGGGAGAAAAGGGGAGGAAAGGAAATTTAGCCTCTTTATCTCTTTGCCTTAGCCAGTCGGATTCCCAAAGGTACCCTGAATCTGACCTCTCGTCCCCCCTCTTCTGCTCCACTGAGGGTCTAAGCCCCTACTATCTCTGGGCTACTGCAAAGCCTCCCAGCTGGCCTCCTGGCCACCACCCCTGCCCCTCTGCACAGACAGAAGCTTCCTAAGACAGAAATATTCTCTTACCACTCACCTGCTTAAATACTGCCAGCATCTTCCTGACTCAACCAGAGTCAAACCCAAACCCTTTCCTGCAGATTACAACTTTCCCACTTACTCATCCACCTCGGTTCCTGGGGCTCGCTAAGCTGCGGCCACACTGGCCTCCTTCCCGGCTCAGATACACCAGCTCCCAGCTGCCTCAGAACCTTTGCACTTACCAAACCTTCTCTCAACTCTTCACACAGCCACCTCCTTTTCAGTATTCAAGTCCGAAGTATATGTTACCTTCTCAAAAAAATCCTTCTTTTGACCAAATTGGCTAAAAGAGTTCTCCCTTTCTCACTGTCACTTTCGGTCTCATTTCTCTAATATACCTTCTTTACTGCATCTCTCACTTCGTGAGATTACCATATCCACCCCTCGGCTTCCTTGTCATCAGTCTGTCCCACCATCGCCCACCAGGTCCATTTTAGAGGTCCAGGATCTCTCTGCCTTGTACCTGCCCCACCTCCGGTGCAGAGAACCGCCTGGCACGCAGCAGGCTCTTGGTGAGTTGACTGATTAGATGGACTGATGAGGGGCGGGGGCGATGATGCAGGCCGAAAAGACTACAGGTAGAGGAAAGGAGAAAAGAGGAGAACCAAGAGAGGGGGAGAAGGGGGCAGGAAAATGGAAGATGGGACGCAGACTGGGAGGAGGAACCGCCCCTACGTAGCAGGACCAGGAGAGAGAAAAGATGGGCAGAGAAGACGGGGTTGTTCTCTGGCACCAGAGTGAAATCCCGCAGAGCTGGCGCCGCCCCCTCTGCGCGGCCACGCCACCCCAGTGTACAGGGCGAGGGGCTCCCGAGCGCCCCCTGCAGGAGGCGGTCCCACACTACACCCAGGAAGCCGGCGGTTTGCACGGATCTGGGGCCCCGGGCCCTTAGATCTGCCCCCAGGCCAGGGGAGGCCCCCAGATGAGCTCAGTGGGGGGATCGAAGAGCAAGGCCGCTAAGAGCTGACCTGACGTTGAGCCTCACATGCTTACCCCGCTGACAGTCCGGGGGAGTCTGAAGCAAGCCTGTCTCTGCTTCCTCCCACGTTCCCCTGTGGCCCTCCACCCCGAATTGCACAGAAGCTCTGAGAATAGAGTGCCCTGGCAGTCCTGCTTGAAGATAGAGAAAGGTCCAGAAGCCCAGCCCTGAAATCAGCTTCCCAGCAGTTTTCTCAACGTTAAAAAAAAGATATTTACTGATTGATTTACGTGGCTGCATCGGGTCTTAGCTGCAGCTCGTGGGCTCCAGAGCACGCGGGCTCAGCAGTTGCGTCGCGGGTTTAGGTGCCCCGCAGCATGTGGGATCTACGTTCCCCCGCCTGGAATCGAACTAGTGTCCCCTGCCTTGCAAGGTGGATACTGGACCACCTGGGAAGTCCCTTCCCAACGTCTTCA